TAAAGGTTTCATTTACTTAGAAGTTCCCTGTGCCTTAGAGAGAATTCTGTTAGTTTTGTCGCATTTGTAAAAAGCGACTTTTTTACATTTACATTACAAGGCAATGCATGTAGGATGTGTGAAGAAATGCACAGCGAAGGACAATGTTGCATAGAAGAGTAATCAGAATCTCTGTGGGAAGAACAGGTTTTCTATCTCAGCAGAAAAGAGATGAAATGTATATACAACAGCTCTTATTTCACTAGCACTACAAGTTTAAAAGTTTCTTATTCACCCCTCAGTAATTATTACATAAACCACGTCAATCTGCATTGTCCTATTCTTTTCTGTTACATTCTATTTCCTTTCCACATATTTGCTCTGCTACTAAATTTCACTCGAGACTTTTCCAAAAGGCTGGACACTAATCATGATAATCATAACCAGAGCTGCTCAACTCTTACAGCGTAATTTTAGTCCCACTGTTTGGATCATTACATTGATCATTTGTCTCTCCTGTAGTTTTTCTGAGCACCTTGGCAAACTTTTCCCAGTAAAAAAAGAACCATATTTTTTTGTTCTGTGAGTGTAGAGAGTTACTCAACTATGCCACTAGACAAACCAGCCTCAAGGAGGTCAGCATGTGAAGTCAGCTGACCTCAGAGGTAAAGTGTTATAAATGTGTTGTGCGGCTGCCACCTAGTCTGGCTCAAGAAAGCTATAAATGTGACTCTCTGTGTGGCTCACCTTGACAGACTGAATATCCTGGGTCTATAGGTGAGAGCTTGAATAACCTGAGGGTCAGTCACTGTATGAACATTAGGAGTATAAAAAAAGGCCTGATTTACACATGGTAGGCATGTAGGGTGGCGCAGACTCCACAGTGCTAGCTATAAAGAGCATTTGTTGAATTGGTATGTGAATTTCCAGTGTGTACAGTTGGTATATTAGACGTGCCAACTTCTGATACCAAGAAGACTACTTCATCTTCAGTACTTCATCTGTTTAACCCTAATCCACGGTTCTGAGAGTTTGTGGGAGTGTCCTAGTCCACGTGTATGATTGCTGGTCTTCCATGAATATTTTCACTGGCATGGACAATAATCCACCTAGCTGTGGATACACACACTCTGACCACTCGTTGGATTAGGCTGCTAATCCCTTTGGTCCCACAGCACATTTACTGCATAGGAACACACACACACAAGCGCACATTGTGGTTTGAAACTCATCAGTTATGTAATGTCAGTCATTACCAGGAGCTATTTGTTATATCAGCATGATTGCACTCATGCCATCTTACATAGCTAGAAACCCTTTTAGTCAGGTTTGATGTATGTTCTTTGGTCGAGTCTTGCTTTTTTCTATTTATACATTTATTATTTTAATTATATTTACAAAAAACATCATTAGTCGTACCCCAAACGACTTCCAGCATCATATTTTGCAGTTTGTTTACACTCACAAACATTGTTCCCACTTATAAATGTATAATCGTATGCCTATGGCCAAGAGTTGCAGTTCATGGCAATAGTTATGTAACACTTTTGACCTAAACACAAGTAAAATATGAGAACATCATAATAAGCCTGTATCCAACATGATGCCAATTGCTAAAGCATGGATGCATGACACCACTTTAACTAGAATTGATTCAGCTTCGAGCAATACAGTCAACATGATGAAATAATGATCTTGCCTGTGATTGTGTAACAATGAACATGTACTTTAGGAATATTGCTTTGGATAAATTATACAATACGTCTTGTGGGCGCGCAGTGCTGCAAAATAAATAAATAAACGTGTCTAACTGTAATATGAAATGAATATTCATGAACATACTGAAAACTGAACAAAGCTAAACAAAGGATAAAAGATAAACAAAAATAGGGGTAGAATCTGAGCCAGTGGGATAAATAGGAAGGTAAAACAACCCCTGAAGTATGATGGAATTTTAAAACAAACTTCATTTCACATGAAGGGACTGCTGTTTACTTTCCTATGTAATTTTAGTGACCACACACTTGATTGAGACAAAACTACACTAAGCACTGCAACAAGAGTGACTAAACTAGACAAGACCTCTATTTTCTTCTCAGCCTCCCAGACCTGTGAGACTCCGAGGTCTTCCTAATTTCCTGTCGCCCTCTGGTCTCTCTGTGTTTCCCACCATCTCTAAAAGCCTCAGACTGTCAGTCTCTCCCATGCTTCATCACAGTGTGCATGACCTTATTCTGCCTTTCCAGATTGCTAGGAGCCTTCCTCCCTGGTGAACAATGATAAGCTAATGGTTGGGGGATTTAACAGCCATATCTGTCAAAAGGAAAAACGGTCGACATGATGGAGGACTGTTGAGGGCTAAAAGTGAAAAATTTGTTTCCTCAATTTTGTCCACGTGAACAGATTAAACGTTTACATAGGAAAGTATTTTTAGAACAGGGTCTTACCTGATTGGTAATTTGATAAGCACAGAGTTGAACACCCACATCAGGGAGATGGCCCTGATAGACCAACCCTGTCCTAAAGGACCACTAGCCTGCATGTGTGAGATGTTTCTCTGCCCCAGCACACCAGATTGGCATCAATGAGTGATTCAGTCTTCTGCAGAACATGAAGATGTAATTCATTTATTGATTAAGGTGTGTTGAAGCATGAAAACAAGTAAAACATGCAGACAGTGACCCCCAAGGACCTGGATTGGACACTCCTGATCTACATCAATCGCACATTAGATGAAATGTGGATTTTTTTTTTCATGATCATCTTTGTGTTGGTGTGTTGCAATTAAGACTGACTGAATCTTTTCTGCTGATGTCATCAATTGCAAGAATGAGAGTAAAAGAACAATAATTAGCCATAATATTATGACTATCTAGTTTTGAGCAGGTTCATCTTTTGCCTTCTGATCAGCCAGGGCACTAACAAAGAACATTTAAGAGTGTCTTGAAGTGTCCTGTCCTTATGAACAATTTATCCTTTGGGGCTTGTAGTTTGCTGAGTGACGTTTCTGTAAAATGGGTTTGATTTTAAAAGCACCATCATAACATTAACAAATATATGGAAATTTGAACGCAAGAAGAATACCTTGTTGCTTTAATCCTTATATAATTTCTAACTGGTATTTTCAGGGTCCACTAATCTACACTGATAGAATGTGGTTTACTGATGCTGTCACCTAAAAAGAAACAGGCACTCATAAATACTGCAGTTTACCAAATTTAGCAGATGAGACTGCTCTGTCTGTAACAAGAGCTGATTTCTAGGTTAGCCAGCTGGAAACACGATGCTTCGTTACGGGTGACCTTTCTCGCTGCATTTCATTATTTAGGCAGAGCATCTGACCCTCTGAAAATAAATGTTTCTGTCAGGCTGCATCTGGAAGGTTAGCTCCTGCTGCTGTTCATGCGTCAATGAAAACATCAATATTTTTTGCACAAATGTCAAAAGGGAAAGCAGCGATCATGCTACATGGGAAGGTGTAATTGATAAAAAAAAAAAAAAAAATACATTTACACACTGAAACCGAAGGGGCTGACAGATAACAGCGGACCCACAAAGGTGCAGTGTGCTGTGTTTTAATGAGTCTCGTCTTTTTTTTGTTTTTCTTCCTCTTCTCTTTTGTACTCCCAAGGTTTTCACAAATCACGCAAATTTAGCATGGTACAAACTTTTCTCATGGTGCTTGTGGGTTTGCTATATTAATAGTGAGAGGATGTTAAGAGACGCTTAGTGTCATTTTCTCTGATCTGGTCAGCCTGTTCTCGATGTTTGTGTTTGAACAAGAGAATTGCCTTTAATTGCACCACTTCAGACTTGCACTCACTGACACTTTTAGAGGACTTTTTTTTTAATCTGTTCGACACATCATCGGTGAAGTACAAGGATTCTTGTCATGCTCTCTAGCTGCATTGTGTAACATAGCCGAGGTGGTGGGAAAAGATGAGAGGAGAACACTGATCATTTCATGCTACAGCTATAGCAAATGAAGCTGACACACCTCCTTGTAATACAAGTCAGAGCACAGAGGGTTCACAAGTTTTGACAACAAAAAGGAAGACAGCGAAATCATCCCTGTTGATGTGTCATCTCATCTTGGAGTCTTGCCCTGAGTTAAAGTTCATCAAGGTGCAGAATAACAACAGCCCTAGACATGTTAGATCATTGCTCGAACACCCATGTGTGGTTACAGACTTTGCTCGTCTTTCTGCAGACCAGATGAAGCGCAGTCGTGTGAGCTGACATCTTAATTAAACTTTTCAAGACTTGTCACAACGTTAGATGTGTACAGTGAGCTGTAAACCTTTCATTACGCTGGGGCTTCGAGCTGCTGCTGAAACTGTCTGCCTCTGGAATAACTGTACGAGCATCTTGAATGATTTTACTATTATAAATTAGACTTACTGGTGCACTCTGCACTGATTGTTTGCAGGTTTAAAAGAAAATTGGGGTACAATGTCTTATCGAATCTATGTTCTCTTTTGAGTCATAAAATAAAAAATAACGACTTGAAGGCAAATAATGTTTTTTTTTTAATCGGATTTCATATTTTTACGTTTATGGGCTGAAAAATATTCTGATTATAGAGTGAAAATATTTTCATAATTTGCACGCTCAAAACAACAAATCCTTCTTTTTCCCCGTTTTTGCATCAAATGTATGTATTTTTGTAGGTTAGTATACATTTGTAGTAGAGCAAAGTTAGTCTAAGTTGCATGTTTAATCTGAGTAAAACTACTGTACCCTATACGCTCTTACACTTCATTTCCCTGCTAACCCTGTGATCCCATTCTCCAAAAAGTAAATTTAATGCTAATATCTGTTTCTGATTCTGACAAACCATTGTGGATTTCTGCTAAGTTTGGCCTAATCTGTCAGTTCAGGTTGATTTCAGATGTACAAACTGTGTTGTTTTAGGATTACCATCTTTGATTAGGTGAATGCAAATATGTCCTTTTGATGTTCTTTCTTTCTCCACTTATCCATTTTGTCTTCTCATCTGTCTCTTCTTGTCTTTCTGCCAGGGGAGCATCTGCACATTTGTCCTCAGGGTTACACCTGCTGTACCAGTGTCATGGAGGACAACCTGGCCTTGCTGAGCAGCAGGGAGATGGAGGCAGTTTTAAAAAACACCAGCCGGTCCTTACAAGTCTCGCTTGCTGGACAGCGCAAGGCCTTTGATGGTGAGATTTAGCGTCCGTGATAACGTGTCAGGTGACCTAGAGGATGTGAATTTGAAGGACATTCTATGTAAAGTGTATTTTTTTTATTTAAATGTTGACATGATAAAAAAATAAAATAAAATCAGATCTAAAGTGCGGTAGTTACACCAGCTAACAATGAAATCAGATGAAAATATTTATAAAAACAAACCATTGTCTAGTTCAAATGGTATAAAATCCACCCTGGGATTCATACAATCTTTATTTTAGAGGTCACTGAATATTGTACGCAATTATTGCACAGAGGCACATGCACCCCATACTGGCAACTTTATGTTACTGAACTCCCACAATTAAGGCTCTGACATTTTTACACCATCGAAGGCACACATGATTGATCAGAATAACTTTGTAAAATAATCAAAAAAGTATTTGGTCTGAATTTAAAACATAGGTCAAATCACACACACACACACACACGCCCCGCCTAATAAACTAGTACCACCTTTTAAATGCAAAATATAACCCACAAAAGACCCCACAGAGGAGAGCTGCTAAAAGAAAAATGAAAAACATTGGTAATAACCGAATCTTTTAATAGGTTACTCAAAGGATCTAGTACTGTACTGCATACTTCAACAATACTTATTGTATATAATTACTTCACTCCCAGATAAATAAAGAAATTAAAATTAGTTTTCATAAACACGGGAACAAGATATTAGTTTGGGGTTCAGTTGCCATTTTTAATGACATGTTACACTTTTTTTTTGTTTTATACAGTATACCAAAAACACATAAATCATAATCTGAATTTAAACTGGTTTAATGGCTGTGACAAACATCAGTACACGTGCATCAAAAAAAAGAAATAATTTTTTTTTTTAAGTTAAAAAAATGTCAATCATTTCAGAAAGTGAAAGTCATATATTACTATAATTTATTACACATAGAGTGATTTTTTTTCAAGCTTTATTTAATTGTCATTTTGATGAATATGGCTTACAAATAATGAAAAAAAAAAAAAATTAGTGTCTCAGAGAATCAGAATATTCCACAGCCATCTTCTGGTACATTTGTCAGTGTGGGCAGGAGTCCAGTCCTGCTGGAAAATGAAACCATCATCTCCTTAGCTTGTCAACAGAAAGAAGCACAAAGTCTCTAAAATGTCCTGTAGATGCTGCGTTCAGGACTTCAGAAAACACAGTTGACCAACACCAGCAGAGAGCATGGTTCTTTGTTGGGGATGACAATACCTCTGACACCACAGTAGAAATCAAAATTTAAAAAGAAGTAAGGAGGAAAATAAATACATGAAGGTGAAAAGCAAACAAATCTCAATCAACTACTAATCTGTATTATCTTAAAAAGCTGGGTTAACTAATTAAGCTCAGAGTTCCAGTTGAAAGAGTTATTATTACAGACTGGTCAAGAGGAATGAGTGCACAAACAAGACACCTTTTTATTAACTGAAGTATTACACAGATAACTGGCCTACCTTGATTTACAAATGACGTGCAAAATTTACTTTCGTCTGAAAAGAGGGCATTGGACCACTGAGCAAAAGTCCAGTTATTTCTCTCCTCAGCAGATAAGATGCTTATGATTTATCTGGTTCAGGAGTGTCTGGACTTGATGGATGAGACATTTGCAGCCCATGTCCAGGAGCTAATCAGCTGATCATGGTGTGACATCAGGATTTTACAATATTGCATTTCTTCACAATATTCTACTTTTCTGAGACATTGACTTTTGGTTTTTCATTATTTGTAAGCCATAATCATCAAAATTAGAAGAAACAAAGGCTTGAAATATCTCAATCTATGTGTAAATAACTTATATAACAGGAGTTTCACTTTTTGAAATGACTGACAATTAACTTTTTCACGATGTTCTAATTTTTTTTAGATAAACTTGTATTTGAAATATATAAATTTGTCATGACATCATGTTGGATTTATTTTGCAACGCATCAAGTGCCAGTGATGTCTTTTTATTGTTTGATCATTTATTTTTTAAAAAGGGCAATTATCTGTGTCATAACTTACTTCAGTTAATAGAAAAGTGTCTTGTTTTTCCACTTATTCTTCTTGACCAGTCTGTATTAACAGCTCTGTCAGCTGGAACTCTGAGCTTGACTAGTTTACCCCAATCTTTTCAGATAAAACAGATAAGTAGTTGATTGAGATTTGTTTGCTTTTCACCTTTATGCATTTCTTTCCTCCTTCTTTCTTTATTTTTTTTTATTAACTGCAGATGAAATCACCCCAACAAAGAACTATATATACATACACAAATCATAACACGCTGCAAAACACCTACATGTCCAAAGTTAGTATAATATGTTTTATTCAATGGATGTAAAATGTTCTATTTGTCGGGCAAAGTAATATTGTAGTACACCTCAGTGAGCACAGCTGAACAAGACAATCAACAGAAACACACATGGTGCAGTCAGCTGCAGTTTCTAATAATTTTATTGTTTTATGTCCACACAATTACAAAGCGTTTAAAATCAAAGCACAAAAATGATTTATCGTTTTGTCTCACAAATCCTTTGACACCGGTTTGTGTTCATAGAGGTTGCGAGACATGTCACTACAAAGTTTTAATAACTTCTGTTGCTTTGAAACCGAGAATTAATTAAGTTGTTGTTTCTTGTCGGTGGTAAATCACTTATAACTTCTACTCTTTGTGTTTGTCCTGACATCGCTTCACTGTATTATGGGAGAAAGTGCATGACGGTGCTGAAGTTAAAGATTGGTGTTTGGGATGTTTGGAACAGTTTCAAACACTTTTTTTTCCTGATTAAAAACTATAATTTTAACATTTGCTTTACATTTAACATTACTTGTCTTGTCATTTTACAAATTGCAAGAGGATGGGAGAGTTAGAACAGTTTGTATCAACCATCAGAAAAGAATGTCTTTATTTTTTGGATGTGGTCAGCTGATCATAAGTTATGGTTTGTCAAGCCAAATGTATTCAAAATTATTTATAAATGCCACTAACCACCAAAAGACAAGAGGCAGACAGTAATCTCATAAACTAGTGGATGAATTTTAATATGTCATGAAGACAATAATCTTTGAATGAACAGCTGATTTTTAAAGTCAGTCTGAACTCATGATTAGCAGCCACAGCCAACTGAGCTTAAAAAGACATAAAAATGTCAATTATTCAGCCACTCTGTAAAGATGTTGAGCTAAAATTTGATGTGTTTGGATCTGAGAGTCATTCACAGCACATAGGCCTAACCAGGGATTGCATGCAACGTTATTGTCAAGGTTTTACCAAAAAAGCTACAACTACGTATGTATGTACGTAAATATATATATATGTAACCCTAAAGCATCAGATGGAGATGGCAGAGGTGACAGAGGGAGAAGCATTTGCTTCTAGATCTGAAAACCATCTGCTGTAAGCTGTATCTTTGAAAAGAGCTAAGAAATAAACGAGAGTTAAATGGACCATGGTATGTCACATTTGCAGCCACATAAATGGCAATTTGTCTGGATTCAGCCATTCCTGTTAAAAACATCCTGTTGTTAGTTGTTTAAACTAAAAAAGAAAGTAACTTACGTCAGGCTGGACTTGTTGAAAAACTGTCAGCCCTTTAAAAATGATTCAATTTGTTAGACACAAAGCGAAAGCCTCCTCCAAAAGAGTTAAACATTCCCAGCTTTTCATCCATATTCTGAAATCCTTTTTTATTTTTCTGACCACATGACCATGCAGTGACATTGTACCATGTTTCCAGTCCCCGCACATCTGGCTGCATTTAGCAGGGTGTGGGCTAACTAGCACCATGTGGCTAAGTGCAGGGTGTTACTGTTCCAGCCCAGTCAGGCTTGGCCCTTCTGAGTCCTGAAACTTTGGAAGACGCACCAAATAAAGCCACAAATTAAAGGACCATCCTGTGCACATACAGGCTCAGGGTCTGAGAGTCTGCACACAGTATAAGTATGCAAATGTGTGTTAATATGCACATCCGTAAGGTTAGAACTCCCTGTGTCCTTGGAAGCAATTGTTATAGTTTTACCTACAGTAAAGTGTGTTAATTTGTTTGTCTATTACTGTACTTGCTCTAACGACATTGTACTACATAAACATCAAAACATGTAAAAAAAATACAAAAAAAAGACAAAGACGTAGAGCGAACAACAGAGTGAAAAGAAAAGACCTAGTACGAAGAAAACAGAAAGAAAACAGGAATGTAAAGCAAGGATGAAGGTGGGAAAAAAGAAAGCAGATGGCAGAAATGGACAGTTACAGGCAGATGATCATGGAGGTAAAAAAAAATACAAAAAGAAATGGAAAGTCAACAAGGAAAAGTGACGGAGGACACAGAGCGATGGTACCAGAGGGAGTCGAGTGTTAGATAGCAGCCAGGTGTGTTAGACAGGCAAAAGCCTTAAACCTGACAGGTGGTGTTTGGCCTGATAGTGCCATCACTGACAACTGGATATGTGTGCGAACACTTTGTGTGCTTGTGTGTGTGTCTGTGTATTGCTTGTGCATAAGTCCAAATCGTGTTTTACTTTGTTTGAAAATACACATATTTACTTCAAAGTTCAAAGATAATCCAGGTAAAAAACACAACAAAACAAAGCTCAGTCAGGTCATCTGGACAGTCTCGTTTGTTTTTTTTTGTTGTTGTTGTTGAGACATTTTGTCCTTCATCCAAAAGAATTCATCAGTCCGAGGAGCTACACAAATAAAAAATAAATAAAAAACTGAGTTCCACAAGCAGCAAACTCATATTCATTCATTCAACCTTTATTTAAATAGATAAGTCCCATTGAGCCTCGAAGACTCATTTACAAGTGAGACCTGTTTGGACAGACAATAAAAAGTGGTGAAAAATTACAAATAGGGTTTGGAGACAAAAAAAAAAAAAGAAAAAAAATCCTAACACGCTCTTAATTTTTGTTTTAAGGTTAACAGCACGATAATGAAAAAAATAAAAAAATCTCGCACACTAGCACATAATGACACCGATATTACGCCGGGTACACCAA